ACCAACACAAATCAAAAATTTAAAGCTTCTTCTTCTTCTTTTTACTGAATGTAATTCTCTCCAGTTTCACTGCAAGACAATTTATTTGAGCTCTCGCAGAGATAGGCCATTATAAAGGACATCTACACTGGAAATCCTTACTGCTGGATTAGTAGGAATAAACATAAAGAGTTGAGCTAAAGCTCCAACCAAAACTCCAGCTTTAATAAATCCTGGAATAAATGTCCAATGCAACACAAATAGGGATGTACAGTCTGATTTGCAGATGGGGCTCTCTTTGGATTTCAAAATTTGCAGACATTTTCCACTTTGCACTGTAATATTATAGTACACAATTTCCACAAAATTACTGCACATGCAAAATGAGGGATCAAGGCATAGCAGAAGAAATAAAGGAAAGCTCTGCGACAGTAAATTTAAATTTCACATATAAGTGCACCAAGCAGCTGAAATGGAAGGCCCCATGTACATTAGCAATTACGCTGTACTTGCCAACAGTGATTGTGGGGAGATGCCAGAAAAAAGCCTCTGTCTCTCAAAAGCAATAAACTTTGTGACAGTTTTTTTACAGTTCTGCTTGCTGGCTAAGGAGAATTAGGCAGCGTATTTATCAGTAATGGATACATTTGGAATTTTTTAGAAAGAATTTAGTTTTTTAGAAAGAATTCACTGCAGGTTGGCTCTTAACAGAACAGAGCTGCATAAAACAATGCAAACTTTTTCATATACTGTTCAACAATCAACAGTTTAACTACCACCTCAATCCAAAAGAATACCCTAAATCCACAGACAGAGGTCTCCAGCTGCATGAAAGTAGAGTTTCAATCCTTACGACAGTTATGATCCTACAGAAATAATGAAGTATAAGGGCAAGAATCCTCATGTTCCACAAATTCTTACATAGTTACAAAAAATAGTGAAAATTGAAGGCCAAAATAGCTGCCTTTGGCTCATGCTTTGAATATATAAGTTGTAAACATGAAATTATGAGTTTCTAAAAAAGAGTATGCTATCAATTACTTCTACTACTTCCTAAAGACAGTGTTTTTCCAGTTCAGTCTTTACAATGTCTTCTACAACATTGAAAGCAGGTGCAAAACTAGAAATTAAAAAATTACTAAGTAATTCTAGTACACCATTAGTTGTTCATTAAATGTCTCTACAGGATGGATGAATGCTAGTCTTACAAAGTTCTGTCTTTCCTCACACACAAATATTCCATTCATTACTCCACAGTAGCATCAAAACTGAAATTTTAAGATCCTTACATACATGTGTCATTAGAACAAAACATGGTGGACATGTGGTATAGTTATATTATGAGGGTTTTTTCTCAAAAATATTGTTTTATTTACTATCTCATCCAGGTAGCAAACCCAGAATAAAATTATTTAGTTACAGAGTACTTTACTTCACTTTCAAGGTTTTTGTTAAACATTTTCACTAGGTACACAAGTGTGCCTCTCTTTGCACATTTCTATCAGAAAAGGCAAAGTTGCAAATCAAGGTGTTAAAAACAAATGAGAAAAAAAATGAACAAAGAACCGCTGATAATCACAAGTAAGAATAGCTTTATTCATTATTTCCAGATTTTTCCAAACATGGAGAGCTTTCAGTATACTTTCTAAGGTTTTAGGGTTTTGTTAGGGTTTTTTAAATCTATAATCTTTATTTTCAGATTCTTCTAAACAAGGGTTTTCTGCCCTATTTCTAAGTATATTTTTTGCTTGATACAGGAAGGGATATTGATGATTCTGAGCTCTGATAATCTAAGCATTTGCATTAGCTTGAGGGGTTTGGTGGTGGTATTTTTTGTTGAATGCTTAAATAGTTTCTAACCCCTACAGATTAAACTGCTTTGTAGTATTTCAGCGAATAAACAGGGCATAGCAGAGCTATTACACATTTTTCTCTACCTTGCATTTTTTGCATAACATTTCATCAAGACAGCTGAATTTAACTTTATGACTGATTCAGGACAGAAATAACAGTTAACATATATTCTAAGTGGCCTATAAGCAGAACAGAAGTACTTCTACCTACCAACAGATGATCAGTGTCTGACTCAGAAGTGCATCTCCCTTCAAAAGGTTCATCATTCTTCAAAAGGAGATTAGCAACTTAAATCCAGAAAAAATAACTCCCATTTTAGTTTTTTCAATACATTTAAAAACCTTGGTTTTCAACTTCATTATAAACCTTCCACAACTGAAGTGCATTAACAAAGTATCATTACTCCTTTTTCACCAACATTTTTAGAGGCACAGCATGAGAAAAAATTTTAAACCATTTAAGAGTCAGAAAGAATAAAATAAGCACTGCTTTGACATTCAGAATGATAAATTCCTCACCACACTCTAGTTATCCCTGTTGCCACCATTTCCCCCTCTGATTTATGATGCTTGCAAGAGACAGGCTTTAACTTTTCATACTAACGTCCTTCCAACTCACTACACACAGAGTATAAAACCCATCACTTGTTCTCATTTTAACTTCTTGAAGCACCTTTTTCTCTGTACAGTTTCTAATGCAATTATGTTTGAGTTCAATTTCAGTTATCTCAACTAACTTAGACACAGCAAATCAGCTGAGCCACAGTAGTACACAAAAAAGGCAAAAAAGCAAATGCTTTTACCTAAATCTCCTCCTAATTGTTTGAATACATGGAACAGTCTGGTAAATACAGCATAGGCTACTACGTAACTGTTGCCAGGCAGTAAATCATTCAGATATACCTAACATATAAAACTTGATCACTTGCCTAAATTCTTAATCTGAAACAGAATTAATCCATTTCAGCTGATGGCATCCTATCCATAAACTTCTGCTAAGCACTCAATCCCTAGTATCGGGTAGCCATGTACCTGGGGGGGGGGGGGTGGGAAATAAAGAAAAAAAGGAAGATGGTCCTTGTTTCTAAAAGCAAGCACATGACAATGAGAACAGTTTCAACAAAACCAAAACCATACCTAAACAACCTAGTGGATGAACACAAATCAAAACATATTTGATAAACAGGGAAAGAGGCCAGACAGAGAAGAGCAAAGTCAATGAGTCATTCACATACATATGGAAGCATATAATTGCTTTCCATATTAAATCAGAGATACCAAAAAGCACATTGCAACTGAAATGTATTATAAAAGCAATTGCAAAAAGAAGGGAAGAAAAACTAAAGCAACTGACAGGCCAGTTGGAAGAAAAATAATGTCATTACTTGCCTGTGCTACAAAGACTTCAGAATCTATAGCTGCTATTAGCTTCCCACTATGGTAAGCCAACTGCAGTAAAGAGCTAGGATTCCATAGTGGCACTGGTAAAATTAAAGACAATTGTTCAGATGATGTAAACCAACAGTTCTAGCTTGTATCAATGGAAGATCACATTAAATACCCAAAAATATTAATGAATTGCTCATTGAAGATATTTTCCCTTTAGAAATACCTCCTAAAAATATTTTTTAAAAAAATAAAAAAGACACAATACAGAAACATTTAGGTACACAGCAGACATCTATCAAAACAAGGATAAATACCAGGATTAACATTTAGATGTAGTTCTATTAGATGACAACTCCTCTACTGCTACAACAATCTCATGAAAGCCCTTTCACTAAATCACCTTCACACTGATTCCTTTTCAATGCAATTTAAACTCATTATGTTAAATGAGCACTATTATATCTGCACTAAAATAAGCATAAGTACTGTTTTTATGCTTGCCTACCATGTAAATCACCCTCTAAAAATACCATAGTTCTGTCTGTTGCAGAGTACTTAAACATATACATTTGGAAGTTGGTAAGGGTTGCTCTATTTTTAATTGGATGAGTTGGTACCTGAAGTTCACAAGCAAAATCTTTAACTTACAAGTGTTTATACTTCTCACAGAAACTGTCTTACAACTTGTATAAAGCATAAAATTACAACAAACACATTGTTCTATCTTCAGTATGTAACACAAAATTATTAAAAACAGCTGCAAGAAAAATCTTGAGTCATTAAGAGAAAAATGTGCTGGTAAGGCTTATTGTCACAACCAGTTGTGACATGACAAGATTTCAACTGGTACCTCCATCTTTCCTGTTTGTTCTAATAATTGTCTTTTATATAACAAGAATCTTTTACTGTAAAATGGTACATGCAACTCACTCTACCACCTTTTGCACCAGGTATATAAAAGGGGACTTAGAAGACTAGGAGATGATTTTATCAAAGCATCAGTTTTTGGAACAGATGGGATCTTTCATGAAATAGACCAGTGCAAACACAAACCCTTTCCTTCCTGGAAGTTCAGTCTGTGTCCTTACTTATATAAAGAAAAGAAGATGAGAGTTGAAGAAATGGAAGCTTGAGTTAAGGCATATGTAACTTACCAGGTTTGATCATACAGCTGGTGGCTACTGAATTTACTTCTGTTGTGTAAGTTAAAAGCAACTGTCAGCTGAAATCAAAGGAGTGGCATAAGCATGAGATAAAGTTTAGGTCCATCTGAGGCCTATTTCAGGACATATCCTTCACATCTTCAGAAAGGACACAATTATAGCCAGTGAATATACAGGAGAACAGCTCTGCAATATTTGGGTCCATTTTTTAAGATATTGGGACAGTTTGCTTGGGTTTGCTGAATACATGTTTATGCACAGCAGAAATAAGCCAGCAATAACCTGACAAAACTGCTCTGCCTTGTATCACCTTTTAGGTTGACAGTGCTTCTAAAGCCTTACTCTCATCCTAATCAATTCAGATAGTAAACTTTCAGGCTACTAGATTAGCATGTCAGGGGTAGGGACAGCATACTCTCCTGTTCCACTTCCAACAGCAATGCCAGCATTTTCTATCAAGCAATTCAATTGTATAAAATAATCAAATTAATCAAATAAATGTATAAAATAATCAAATTAATTAGAAATTGAAATTGCTTATTAAAGGAAGTATTTTATTTTTATTAAAAAACACTAAACCCAGAAATATTGGAATACAATAAAAATTCAGCTGGAATGAACAGTGACAGACCTTTCAACATTTGATGGCTGCTGGGTGCCCATTGTCCCTGGTGCCTTCACAGCAGGGAAGAGAACATACTTGCACATTTCAAAGGAACAATGTATCCCGAATAACTCTACATTTTTGTTTACAAGCTTAGCAGTAAGGCCAACAACTAAGAAAACTTTGGGATTGAGCCACTATTTCCTTTCTAAAACTAGTAACTCAAAAACTAAATCTGGGGAAAAACAAAAATATAGACTGGCCACTTGTCTGCACAGATCACTTTCAGCGTCTGTCATTCTGGCATTCATCACACCCAGTCCACATGTTAAAACCTTTATATCACTTCAAGGGATCCCTGTCCCCATCAGCAGTCAGTAAGAAAGAAGACAAAATGCAGCTGATCACTCTTGTTAGTCTGCCTAATGACAAAATGCAGAAACATTTCCACTGCTTCTTTAGGTAAGGTTAACAAGGTGAACTACAACCGTGTCAGCCTCAGCTTGTTGTCTTTGAAACTTAAATTAAAAAACAACTTTATGGCTGTAATATCTATCTACCTCTGTAGCACAGAAGACAAGTGCTTACATATGAACATTGTCTGCACAAACCAATTAATGTATATAAATAAATAAAGAGAGAATTTATTTTTAAGGAAATCACTACCATAATAAAGTCAGAGCAGGCAGCAATGTAATTGTCCTTGCTAGGTAATGACACTAGACTCACAATATCTTGTAATTTAGAAAAAACTATTTTAATACAGAAAATAGAAAATTTGATTCTAAAGTTAGTCCATGGAACTGGAAAGATTGGACACATATATTCAATTTTTATATGGATTCATATTGTTAGATAAACAGCATCAGATATGCATTGTTTCCAAAACAACTGAATGTTCCATACATTCCGTAAGAGCTGACATCAGCTCAGGTTGGCTGATAATTGGGACACTTATTCATAGGCCAGTATGTAAGGCAAGTATCTAGTCTCAATCAGACAAGGTTAGAACATGGGAAAACAGAACAAACAAGAATTTAGAGAAACATCATAAACAGATTTTACACAACTTTCTTAACAAATGCCTTGACTGACACATTTTCAGATCTGGCTTCCCATCTAGCCTTTCAATCTTTTACTAAAATATATTTCAGTGAAGTTTTTCTGGAAAAAGCGTTTAACAAAATGTGTTTAACAAAACTTCTCATTTACCAATTACACTCCAACAAACCTGGAGGGAACAGCACACATGCTGTTTTATTACTAAGCATAAAAGTCAATGTTCTCAAAACCAGTGTAGCTTATGGAAGGTAAGGCATCTTCACAGCATGGCTCTCAAAAGAAGCAATTCCTTAACCATAGTAACAAGTGTCTATAAAGAAGTCTTCCTGAAAATAATTTCAATATAGCCAGTGAGAAACAAGACTAACCATGTAATGTTCAACAGAGAAGAAAACCTCTCACTTATGTCAATATGTCTCTTTGATTCCTCAACTGCCTATTAAAAAATTTAGGCAATTGCATTTGTTACAGCAAACCTTGCAGGACCAGTCTTGCTTGTTGGTGTCAATCTTAAACATCACTAGTTTATTGTGGTTTTTGTTGTAGCAGGGTTGTTTGTTTGGTTCTCAAAACAAGGAAATTAGGGACCTAATTAGGTCAGTAGTTTGTTCCATACCAGCTATTTACCTTTTTGGTGCTTACATAAAGCACCAAACTGACTATAATATATTCCTTGGTTTCTTCCAACCATACAAACTCAACACAGACTTTACCCTCTGAATCTGCATAGTCTGCAGTATAGACATGACCCATGTAGTCATAAAGGCCGGATGACTTGGTAGACAATTCCATGCGGACCGGATCACTAAAACACCAGAAGGGCATTCCAGTTTCATCCAATAGAGTCAGATCCATCACAAAGCAGTCCTACAAACACAAGCAGAAGAGATTATTTCCCTATGTCATGGCAAAGTAAGTAGAGGTTCAGAGAGTTTTGTACAAAGGCTAAAACCTCAAAATACAATTGATAGTGCTTCACTGACGTACTGCAGCAAATACTTACTTAGAGGTTTCCTGTAGAAATCGAAACTGCAGCCTACACACATCAAATGCTGTGCTACAGAAGGTACCACTGCCAAACCAAATCAAACATTACTTCTTGAACATTTTTAAGCCTTTTACATCTGTTTTTCTCAACTATTAGTTACTTTACCACTCAAATAATGATGGTTCCTTCAATATGAGAAAGTAACCTAAGTTTAAAGTCAGCTGCTAAACTTGTGTGAATGCAGCAATGCTTGCAAAGATACTCAGGGACCACCCAAGGCAGTGCACAGAATTACCCTTCCAAGCCAGCTGTATACAGTACTCTCTTTTTGGGAACTGAAGGCTCACAGCTTCAGTTCCCAAAAAGGTAATATAAAGAATCTTGATGTAATTCCTCTGCTTACAAATTCTTGAAAATATTTCTTTACAAGATTACACAACTAGATAATTTAAAAATGTTAATGCCAATTCCTTGGTCTTGGCAAACTGATAGTTTCACATATCCCTTGGAAGCATAGGAGTGATGTGTCATTGTTAGTATCAGCTGTTCCTTATTCTCATGAGTTCTGAATCATTAAATGAATCAAATTATCTTAATTATGTTGTATCTGTGCTCCAAAAGCATAAACAAACCAACACCACATATTCCATGCCAAAAAAATTCATTTGGAATGCTTTATTTCTCTGTACTACATAGTTGTGCTTCTGTTGCTCTAACATTGCTTTCACTATTACTTTACTTCAATCAAACAACACACGGGCAGATGGCACAAACATGAGGCAATATGATACACATAGTTTCCCTAAGCTTTTTACTGTAGACTATGCTGAAAATACAAAATTCAAACTGAACCTAATGATGGTGTAATAAACTTATATGAGTGACAGAATCACTGGAAACATGAAAGAATCACTATTTTCTGGTCTGACAGCTTGCATATAAAAAGCTAATTATGAATAGTAAAGTGGGATGGCATTGGGATGGTGGGGTCTTCCCATGCATTTCTGTCCTGGTTCTGGTCAGGATCTGGTTAATTTCTGCAGTAGCCAGGAGGGAGCATGGCTAAGATGCTGGTTTTTCTACACCACCTCACCCCATTTCCAGGGCCAAGGAAAGGGCTTTCTTCTCCTTAGGGGTATTGCACCATGGTCAGGTTTGTGCTCCATGGTGAGCATTTGCACATGAATCACTCCCCTCTCTTGTACATTCTTGTTGTTAATATTATTGCTGTTACTCTCAGTTTTCTTATCTCATTGCTGCTCTTATCTCAACCTTGATCTTTACCTTTTGCACCTCCACCTCTCCACTCCAGCACAACACAGGGGAGAGGAAGGGGAAAGCAAGCCAGTGGAGTGTGATTTGGAGTGGTTACAGTAAGAATACATAATTGGAAAATACCATTCCTATGACAATTTCCAACTATCTGTACTTCGGCAATTAATTTTTTTCGAAAAACCCAGAAGTGCCACGGAAGTTTTTAGGGGTTTTTTGTTTCTTTAAAGTATTAGCTAAAATTCAAATAAATTCAAAGTAATGGAATGTCCTACTTTTGTGGCTGATGTCATCTGGCCTTCACATGCTTCAAGAATTTTAGAGACTTTTGGTAAAAACTACACTGAATTTGACCCACAGCTATATGCTGACATATTCTATCTCTCATCACAAAATGAGGTTTAAAAAAAATACTGTACTCTTTATTTTGTCCTAGAAACAAACATTAAATATAATTTATGCTGTAAGCACATAGAAAAATGATTAAAATTGAAAAAACTCAAGACTACAGCCATAGCTCTCTGTTTCCTCTGACAGATAACGTAAATTCTTATGTACTACTCAGGATTTTTTTCATTAAAACAAAAAAAGACTCTGTCAAGCAGCTGTTAATCCTATAAAATCATAGAATTATTTGGGTTAGAAAGGGCCTTTATAAGTCATCTAATTCCAGCTCTCCTGCCTCACCATGCGCAGCATGGAGTGTCCACTTTAAATCTACTCTCTTTCAGTTTAAAAACATTGTTCCTTGTTTTGTCACTACATGTCTTGGTAAAAAAAGTCTCATCAAAGAGTATTCCATTCCAAATTTATACAGGATTGGCAGAAACAACATTTTTATTAATTCTGAGGGTTTTTTCCAAAAGAAGTGCCGAAATTGAAATCAAATGTTGAACTACATGATTTTTCAGTAGTGCTTAAGTCATATTTATCAGAATCTTCACAGCTTCTGAAATATTCATGCTGATAAAGTAGATTTAAAAATATGTGCCCTCACCACTATTGCAAAAGCTACAGAACCACTCTGAAACTTTGTTTGAAATAATTCTTTTAGGAATTTTATCCAATAGAATGTGTGAGCATTCCTCTAAAATAAAGAGTTAATCTAGCTGACTGATGTACCTGACTGGAGCTAGGTGCTGACTGTGTGGATGTGGACTGTAGTTTCCTATGTCCACTGGCATTTTAATACTCCCCAGCAGTTCCTAACTTTCACTGCACATACAGCACAGACCTGCAGAGTATTTCCCCAGAGGTTCAAGGCTTATTGCTCACAAAAAAACCCCAATCAACCAACCAAAAAACCAAACCAAAAGAAATAAAAAGCACAAAACAACAAATAACACTCTCACACCAAATTAAAAAAAAAATCCTCACAAAAAGTACACCTGCAGTACATTTTTTTGTCCAGCATTTCCATGGGCTGGTCAGTCACAGTATCTTTGCTGAGAGGAAAGCAATCACACACAGATAATGGGTCTATCTGCAATCCAGAGTCTATGAGAGAAAGGAGAAAACTCTTTTCCTAAAAATTCAGGTTTTTTTGAATATTGGAATAGAGGTTTTGTCCAGTTACAGACAGCTTCTACAAACCAAAAGGTTGTTTAAAAATTAGCCTATTTAGGATGCACAAACACAACTCTGTTTTGAGGTAAGCATTTCCAGAAACAAAGAATATTTCTGACCTTTACATTGCCTTTAAATACATCTGTTTCCCAGCATATGCCAAGTGTCCCAATAATAGGCAAGTGCTTCCTGTTATCCTTTAAGTTTACAACTACGAGCCTCACGTATCCATTTTCAATGTCACCTGAAAATATAAACAATATACAACATTACAGCAGCATAAATCAAATTGAGCTCAAGTACACTGTAAATGTTCTCTTATCTCCTTTCCATGTCTTTTTCTTCCCACTCACCAATAAGAAACCCTGGCATACACCAACAGCTAAATATCAAGCACTTTATAGAGGAATCAAATTGCAGTTTGGAGTTTTGATTCTGTGATTCACAGTAGAAACTGCAGATAAAAAAATCTTTTGTATTTTTTAGTACAAAAATAGGAATGCTACCTAAAGAACTTACACAAGGGTGCAAGGAGTAAATTTCACACCCAGCATTTCAATTTCATGCCACCAGTGCCTCCATAACTTCCCACTCCCCAGAAGTCAAGCTCAACACTACCACACAAAATAAAACAATGAGATACCTCCCCAACCTTTTTTTTTCAAGTTATTTAAATATCTCTTATGTCTGACTGGAAACTCAAATAACCCAATACAAAAGGCACACAGATAACTATTCCTCCTTAGAAAGGATAATGCATCATTTGAATTGACATGAAGTATGATTTGATTTGAATCAAGTTTTTAAATTATGGATTTTTTCATTTTTTAAATAGCTTTCCAAGGCCCCTGGGGTTTTTGTGGCAGAATAACTATGATTTGTGATTTTTTTTATTACTACATATAACCATATTTCTTTGGAATCTCTTCCTCTCCTCTCAAAAGAGATTGGCATTTTTTTAAATTTTTTTTTTCTTTTGCTGTCAGAGAAGGAAAGTTAACCCGGGAATCCAACAGTCTAATTATAACTTGGGGTACATCATAGTGAACATGATCTGACTACAAAGAAAAGTAAAAATAAAAGCATCACATCATGACACAAGCAGATTTCTTGGTAAGACATCCCTTAAACAAGTTTCCTTGAACAAGAGATAATCTCTCAAAAGAGCAAACCAAAAGCACTAGAGACCTCAGTAGAAAAAATAAAGTATCTAGCACATGCAGGAGACAGATACAAAGGGAGAGAAGAATTCCCAGGAACATAATGCTTGTCAGGATCCAGCAGTAGGTCCTGGATGGTAAGGTAACAAGTGAAGGGATTTGCAGAGATTTAAGATGTAAGTGACAGAAGTAAAAAAGGCAGAAGTGTTTTGCCTGTGATTCTCCTTCAATCAAGCCCAAGCAGCAGCATGAGGCTACAGAAGCAGCAACATCAGGAAGGCTGGCTGTGAGTTCAGTGGCTGCATCCAGCATGCAGCGGCAGCAAAACCTCTGCGTGGTGGCTACTTGAAGCAGACAGTTGGAGGCAGTGATGGAGAAAGAAAGCCCACACTTGAACACAGAGGCCAAAAACTTCTCTGAATTGTTACTGTAGAGCCAAGCAACTCCCAAGATAAAGCTGGCCACAAACCAATGCTGGAAAGGCATCGCTCACCAGTGGGGAGTCCAAAGAACAGTTATTACAGAAAGGAAGCTGCCCAGCACATGACAGAGAAGAGAGCTGCAGGTTTTTCGGTACAGACACTGTTTGGAATGGGAGTGTGAATACAATGAAACCAACATGACTATGCCCAGGAAATGTTTTGTAGGAAATACTTCGTTATAGTTGAAGGAAAATGCAATCCTCCAAACTGCGATACCCACTTTCAGTGAAGTGCAAAAGAAGTCAGTGAGAAAAATGTAAGCAGAATTCATTGCCAGGATCCAGCTCAAAGTAGAAAAAGGCCATAAGTTACCACCTGTCCAAATGGTCCAGTTCCAAAACCTCAGTAAATAAAATTCAATGACAAAATTTCATTCAAGGTAAAAGTATCTTATTGAAATAGTTTACTGACTAACCACTGAAAGTCCACATTTAAAGCTGAGCTTTTATACAAGAAGCTTGAAAACATCAGTCAACAAGCATTTTTTCCAAAAGGACTACTTGGTTATGCACAATCCCAATCTGAATGGAAGTGTCTATTTCTCTTATTCAGATCAAATGAAGTTTGAATGGAATAAAAAAGGATTGAAAAAAGCCTTCTTCTGCTAATAAATTCCTATTGCATGGCATTAATACACATTGCTAGATAGATCATCTGGCTATGATGTGTTGCAGTTACTTCTTAACTTTAGCCAGAATGGAAACAGGCAACAGATCAGGAATGTGAAGGCTAATTCTTAATGGGTTGGTTAATCCAGACTTTATATATCTTTTTTTTTAATATAAAAGCTCTATTTCAGTCCTCACATTCAGGAGGAAGGAAAAGCCTGGCTAGAAACAAGCAAGAAACTGAAGGCTAAGTAATGAAATCTCCCCTTCCTCACCCCAGTCAGATGAGAAAATGAAATTAAAGGGCAGGATAACCTATGTTAAACATACAAAGAGAAACATAGAGGAAGCAAATTGGACAGGGCTTTCTTCAGGCTGAACCAGACTTTGTTTCATTGTCCCCTTATAACATCTCTAGTCCTTGATTCATGCAAGACACGCATAGCAACTGCAAGCAAAGCAGCAGAGTAAATTATAGGGAACAAATATTTCCAAATACAGGTAATACCAACAAAGGGAACATATAACATGCAGACAAACCTCAGGGGAATGAAACAAACAGACTAATTGTTCCAAAGCACTTATTTTAGCTAAAAGCCAAGAAGTTTGTTTTGCTAACCAAGCATTTGTTGCAAGTTGTCATTTGATTGGTATTTTCAGAGGAAAAGCTATGCTTAACACTAATTTGGGTGCCAACAACCAGCCTTTTCACACTAAAATCATTATTCAAACTTGCAAATCAATCTTCAAGGCCAAGCAAAACATTTCAAATGCCTGATATGAAATTTTACAAACAAAGCTTAACAGTTCTCTAAATACACCAAAATCAACCCTTACATTTTGCAAGCACAACACATCATTTTACATCAACAAGAAACGACATTGAAAAGCAAAAGCTTAAACTACCATGAGGCTACAAAGCTGTGCTTAAAAAGTTGAAAACCTAGGTAAATACATTTCAAAAATATTTATGAAGAAGTTGGATCCATGTCTTCTGGGAGTCATATGAAAAGCCTGTCATAACTTCCTGAAAACAACGAAAATTTTCTAAATATTTTCAATTCAGTTACAATATATTTAATATATTCATCCTACAGTACCTGTCAATTCTGTTTACATGAAAAGGAGCATAAAATAAAATGCTAAACCCCAACCAAAACAGTGAAAAAACAGCTAGTTACTGCAATGCAAATATAATAACAGGAAAAAAATCTGTAGCCATACACATTCCATCTGCTTGGTCCAATGCAGTGTGACATAACATTTTTTAATTTAATATTAAGAATTCAGCAAAATGAATTGAAAATGGAGTAGCAAAGTGCAACACAATATTAATATATACTAACAAAAAGCAGACAAAAATTAATCTTGAACAAATCAGTTATTCTGCAAAATACAAATGGGCATTCTCCGGTAACCTAGGAATGCCTAAAGCTTCTTAGTGAAAAACAATAAATAAGTAAAACAACAGAACTAGCTCACAACTGGTATGTGCCTCAAGTTGTGGAAACTACCAGGGGTATGTTGCATCTATAATTTAAAATAAAACTGGACTGGGTAGAGAATTTTCAGAAATAGCAAGACTTCCCAGTATGTTGCAGGACTTCCACGCTTCAGAGTCCTCCCAGAGGATGGGATAGAGTGCATTATTAAAATGGATCCTAAAAATAAAACACAAACCATCCAACACAATCAGTGTGGATAAACCTGGCCACATTGAGCAACACCATGTTCACCAGAATGAGAAAAATGAATAACAAATCACAATGAAAAATGTGACAGCAGACAGCCATATGCTGCCTCACCACACCTTTTTGGAGGAAGTCAAGCATTTTCCAAAAGGAATTATTGTGCAAGCACATGGAAGGGATTAGATGACAAATGAGCTTATTGTATGCAGAACCATGGCTTCAGCTGTCTGATGTCCTTTGAGACCAGAATCTGATGGCTGCCACATTGCTGAAGGTCACAAAACCAAAGCAATTCAGAAAACACTTGTGAACATAAAACATTCTGTAACTTGCAAAGTGAGATGGCATCACAACTGTAGCTCATGGACATTTGCTTCAATTTGCATAAACTTCAGCTTGATCTTTTGTGGAAGTAGCTTCCAAGCAGCAAGAAAGTGATACCAAGAAAGGAAGTATGTCACATAGTACTTTTTCTTGTGCAACTGTATTGCTAGAAGTATAACATTTTCATTTTAGAAAAATGTGATATTCAGCTAAACAAGAAAAACCCACTCCTCTGGCCAATTTTGAGAATATTTTTTTTCTGAGAACATAAAGAGGACTCTTGTACTACATAACACTTCAGGTAAGATTTCTTGCTACATGCATAGACTTTCGCTGTAATTTTATCCTTAGAAGTATATTTCAGGTTCAAGGACAACACTCCACACCGCATAAGGCTGCAATCTAAAGCACAGTTCTTGGAATCACCAAACACAAATGAGAAAAACCAAACCAAATCACGGGGAAATTCCGCAGCTCTGTAAAAGAACTCACGCCTGACAACAGTGCCCTCTACTGACAGAAAAACAACATGTTCTGAAACCCACACCGCTCAGGAGTGCCGGTATCTAACAAAAATACTGGGGAGCAATAATTAATTTACAATACTTAATTCTAAATTAAATTAATGGCAGTGTACAATTTTAATATTTTAACCTATCTCTGATTACAGAAAGACAGCTGTGTAGCTTAGGAAGTTATGCTGAAGTTAAGTCAAAAGAGAGATCCCCCATGTACTTTTCAAAACCTCAGTAAAATTATGAATTTGGGCTGTATGAGAAGAACAGGGATGGCCAATCATGTCTCATGGAAAGAAGCGCTGAGAACAGAATGCAGCAGCAGAAAAAGACTGAAGCTGTTTTCCACACAATGAAAGGATGTCAAAACAGGCAACCTTAAGCTCACCAAAATGGAAACTCTAAATCTTAAAGTTCACAATAACTTGTACAAATGTATCTATACATATAATCTGTCTGCGCACCCAAAGTATACTTGAAGAGAATTCTACAGAAACAAGATTCTAATATGTATCCCTCTCTCCTTTACAAAATATATGTGAAAGAAACATCAACCTGCACCAAGAATTGTGCCAGTGTATTATTAATGTAGCACAGAACTAAAAGAAAAGACCCAGAATATCTGCAGAATTTGTGTGCCAGGCTGACAGTGTCAATTAACAGCAGGCAGACTTCTTACAGACGAGGCTTAGGATGCCACACAAAGTACCATGCAGATACAAAGAAACCACATCACAAATAGAAAGATAGCTTACTCTTAAAATTCCATTTCAGTTTCACCCCTTAAAACAGAGAAACTGGATATAAGAAGGAAAGATGCAACAGCAGGGATCATTTTTAAAACAGACATTATTGCTCCATCAACTTTACGTTTTCTGCAGAAGAGGCACTTGAAGGATCCACACAGGTACATGCAGTTTCTGCCATGCAGATCAAGATGCAGCCTGTAGTCATGCAGTCCATATTCTGAGTCAATATCATCCAGTAAAGGTCTATTAGGTGGAGGAGAATATTGACTTGAAAAAAAAAAAGATAGAATTTAGCAAGGGAGGATGACTTAGTAAAGATATAACACATAGGCCAACATTGAGACTATCATCTTAAGACAGTTTCAAAATCAAACATCTCTAGTTCATCATAAGATACTACAGTGTCTAATATTGCTGATCAGCTGTTCAGCCTACCCAAAGGCAGAAAATACAGCAGTCAACTTTAAAAGGTACATCTGGTAAACTTCAAAACATGGACTTGTCTACAAAAAAGAAAAAAGCATCAGCTCAACTACACATATAAAAGTCCACTAGCTCTAGAGACTTCTCTGAAATAGCAAATATTGAAATAATTTTGTCTGAGGCTAGCTAAATAAGTACTGCACAGAAGTGACCTAAAGAGAACACATGCCAGGGGCAACTGAGCAACTTCTACATAGGATTCAATTTGGTACTAAGGGAGATGGTGTTAAATCTTACATTCTGTGTGAGAAGAGCCACACTAAGTTATAGTGGGCATTTAAGACTACTGGTAGATACAACAGTATCTGACCAGAAAGCTGAGTGGGAAATAAATTCCCCAAATACTATTCTAAAGCTAAAAAATCATGCAAACACTTCATAGGAAACCCAGCTATTTTCTCAAAAGGATTAAAAGATTAATGCAGGCACCTCACCAGTTTACCAGAGTTTCCCCCCTCTTACACAGCCAAAGGATACTTCCCTACTTCCTGAAATGTCTCTCTCTTTTCTTTCTGTTTCAGATAGAAAGAGGAAATAAGAAGACTGCTTGTGGAAAGGGAGAAAGTGTGTGCAGTGTATTTCTATCTTTCTCAATATGGCAAGTACCAGTACACTTGTATAACTAAATTATCTTCTTAATAGCATAACAATGGCCATATTTTAGCATGAAAATGCTTCTACAGTTTTTTATTTAGTTACTGTAACTGTTGTTTATATTAAACAAGAATAGTTAATTACTGCCTAAATATAAACCTCTTACCAGCAGCCAATTTTAACTGTAAAATTCAAAGCTTTATTCAAAAGGTTATCTTTATTACCCACAAAGGAAAACTTACACAGTAGCAGAACCCAAAATGCTTCTACTTACACGGTAGCAGAACCCAAAATGCTTCTCTCAAGAAGGTGATTATAATGAAGATTCGCCATAACAAAAGCAATTTCATTTTTCCCCTGAAAAGTTAATTAAAGTAGATGTATTTTCATCTGGAAATTCTTTTTTTCACAAGGTCTTTCTGAGCATTAAAATTCATAGATAAATGCTGCTGCTTATTACTCTGTCAATTACTATAATAATGTTAGTAATGGCTTGCTTTTACACTTGGACTCATAAAATCTTTACTGTCTTTTCACAAGAACACAGAATAGTTATAAAAGACTGCAACACTTTTATATTACGGGGAAAGAGAGAGAAGCCAGCTATGGCAAGGCAAAAATTATGAGAGCAATCCAAGATTTGTACTTCCCTAGCTTCTACTGACCACTTTAAAAAAGATACCTAAACAGAATCAAACAGCACCTATTCCCGACTACCGAAGCATCAAGTTTATTTTCATGTCTAAGAAACTATTTCCAAAGAGGGCTAACATCAGTGAGGAACACAGAATTATTCAATAGAAATTGTGAATTTCAAAGTAAAAATTGTGTCTTCACCAGATTATTTACTCCTGGGAAAACATTAAAAACATAACCTTCTATAGTCAAAAAAAATCTGTGTGAAAACTAAATAGAAACAGAGGCACGTATTTACTTCAACAACACAGAATGCTAGGATCTCAGGTTTTTTTCTTTAAATGCATTCTTTAAATCCTACATTTACAAACACCCAAGTCAATAGGAAAATTATTCACTGCCATACTTTCCTGAAATATGGGCAACTACTGTTTTCATCTCTCTGGGTTACAAGAAAATTACATCCTCTATTCAAACTTTTGGCTTTTTAACTACTCCTGTATGTTCATAGTACAAAATTACTGCTATAAAGGATTTAACCTGGGAGGTCTATCAATCACATAATTTCTCAGTCTTTCTCTATCCAAATACCAGGAGGCCCACATAACCTGCCCTTGGTTTCTGTTATGCAGCTATGTACTAAAAAACAAGATGTGTGGCATTTACAATTATTACACCCACTGACACATAACTACCTCGCATTACTCTGCCTACCCAGAGAGTGAGAACTGCTGTTCAGAAAAACAAGCAGGGACAATATACTAGATTGAGGCACTCCATTTTTAACAACTATGTGGAACTTGGTTATGACTGAACCATTTCCAGGTGCTGAAAGAGCTCTCTTTCCAAGCATGGATGGGGCCGATGCATAAGCAAGACCACAGAGCCAACAATACAGGGACACCAGTCTATAAAACTTCTGAAGATACAAGAGAAATGGTTGCTCATTTAGCAGAGCTTTTCACAGACTGAAACAACCTGTAACAGGTTTATGCTGGTCAGGCAGTCTCAAGTTTTCTAGGAAATGGACTTTCACTATTAAGAGTGAAAGGAATAGTCCTTCTGCAGTTTCAAACGTTGCCTCTGGTGATCGTGCACATTTGAGGCAACATGCTTGCAGACAGAATTTAGACAACTTCCAAGAATTGTTCACAGCCTCCCCATGGAAAGTTCCTTGCCAGTGCCAAACAACCTAAGTCAATGTCAACAGCATGACTGAGGGGAGGAAAAAAGAGCTGCCACCTCTGAATTGAGATCAAGAGCAGAACACCTGAGATAGGCTTCCATTGCACGCAGCCCTGCATAGCAACAGGCAGACACAGAGGTCCCCGTGCACCCCATGCAAAGATGCAGACTCCTTTTGTGTAGAAATGTACTTTAGATGTTCTGCACTGCCTTCTAAAGAGACTCATATGTACACCCACCCTACAGAGGCTAACTGCTTAACTTAGACTCTTAATACAAGAATTTAATACCCCCAAAAGGGCACGATTTACAGCATTCCTACTGGTGGAGCAGGATACAGCTATCTGGTGATGTAAACCAAAGTTAAGTCACTATGTGGGAACTCATCACTTTGAGTGATATGGACAGGCAATGGCATGAATCACAGGAAGAAGCACTTCTCAAACCATTCTATTGAAAATTACTCTAGGATATTGAACTTGGGCATGTGAAGACTGCAAAATAAGTAAAACTGAACACAGTATCTAGTATAGAATGATACATAACTGATCTTTTAATTAGAAGTAGATTTCTTTATGCATATATACTCCAATGACAGCTCTTTAGGATACAATAAATCATCCACTTACAGTCCCTACATGTGTTGCGTGGTTACTAGTTTAGACAACATCTTTCAAAATCCAAACGGAAAAAAAAAAAAAAAGAAAGATTTTTTTAAAAAAACCCTCCCCAAACCAAAAAAAAAACCCCAACTCTTTTCCTTCAAATAATAAAATAGTGAAACAAAATGTTATCTTACCTTCCACATTCCTACTAACAGTCCTGGACTCAGACTGAAGAGCTGGACAAGCTCATCAGCACCAACCACTACACTATTTTCAGTCAGGTTAGCAAGATGGTATTCAGCAATCAAGGAAAATCGACGAGGTCTTTGAAAAGAACATACAGAATGTAGCAAAAGTTTATGTCTCCTTAATCATGTAAAAGTTCAGCCTAATTACATTTTTAACTCTGAAGTCTGACCAGCAAACATGATGAAAATGGTTTTGAAAGCATTTGGCATGCAGAGTCATAAACTATACATTTGAACAACTACAGTGTACTAGCAGGATCTGAACCTTTAACAAGATGAGAAACAAAAAACACTATATGACCTTCTAAAATACTCTTTTAAAAAACTTATGCGCTTGCCCAACTTTTCAAAATACAGAATTACTTTACAATTTGTTTTTGATACTTTATTTGTTCTATACGGAATCACTGAACATTTATCACTGTGAAGCAAAATTCAAAGGAAAGGATCAAATTGTATATATAATGAATTAAAAGTCTGTGTTATTCGAAGCTTTCCTTTTTTAGATTTTTTTTATTTTTTACCTATAATTAAAGCCATTTAGCTCCAAAACACTCTTAAATATAAGTTCATGGACACTCTTATTAACTAATGACACATTTAAAAAAGAGCAGAAAGTAGAGTTTGCATTACCTATTCAGAATGAAGAAAGTCTTTCTAAAATCCTTCTCAGACTTAGGCTCTTATTGTATTCAAAACAGTTCCTAGATTTCCACTGGTATCACCTACAACTACACACTGAACACAACTACACACTGAACATGCCTGGGATGGGGCATCCACAACCTTCCTGGACAACCTGCTCCAGTGTCCCACCACCCTCACAGTAAAAAATTTCATCCTAATCAACATCAACCCTTTCCCTGCACTTACAATCTTAACAGTCATCAGGCCTGTCCCTGCACTTACAGTTTTAGCAATGACCAATACTGAAACTGGTGAATCCACTGCCTTCATCTATAATCACAATTTGTAAAAACCTGTAACTCTGTGAAATAAGTACATCAATTGCCTGCAAGCTTTCCTTTTTATTTTCTACATATGAATCATCATCTTGGCAAAACAACTACACTTCCTATATAAACTGACTGCAAGACTTGGTCAGCTAACTTTATACATAAGTTTCTCTTGATTTATTTCTTTTTTAAGTAAATACTTTTCTTCTGGTTGAGGAACCCAGGGTTTTGTAGGTGAATAATTCTCTCTCTTTTCAGAGCTCTATGGCTAGGGGCTTTGTGTAAGAAGCGTGTACTTGACACTGCACTTACTACACAGCCCAGATGTGTGCTAAGCTCCTTGACAGGAAACAAATACCTCAAATAGACACTTTTCATTTAAAGATATTCTTAGACTGTAACAAGAAAAACCACTGTACACATTTAAGTTAAAAAACAAGGGACAGGCTGTGGACTGTGTGCTTTATATGCATATGCTGAAGATTGCATGCATAGTTAAACAACAAGTTCTCTAAATTCACACACACACCTACCAGACAGAAAATAAACTTTAACAACATAGATTACCTGACTGTAGCCACATAAATACTGATGAACTTTTCCAAGATAAATTTCTCACAATAAATTCTCCTAGATTTACAGTTTTCTTTCATGCTCATTTGTGTCTATACCTTAGATTAAGCTTTCCAAGTCAGGACCTATCAGTTTGCATATCACATGCCAATAGCTACATTAACCTATGAATTAATTTCATAGCTTGCTGAATTATACTATTTCTTGCTGAAAAGCTCTACCAAAGAAGATAAGAACATAAAAAGAAAATTGCAAGGAGGCTTTCAAATGAAGAGTTAACTTCTTGATTAAAACAAATGTCAGATAGCTCATACAGACACATTATCACCCAGTTGCACCCAAAAAAATCCTCAAAACTCCTATGTCAAAACTCACCCATTGTTGTTGGGAGGTATGCTTTGGTCAGGAAGCAACGGTGTAACTCCAAATAGCTTCAGGGTTGATAGGATGTCTAAGCATGGCCAGTCTGTACCATGCCAAAGTACAGTAAGAGATGTGTCCTTAAATGATAGGTTTGGCTTCTCTACTACATGTTCTTTTCCATTTTTGTCCTTTAAGACAATTATCCAACTCAACCCAGAGACTCTGTTATTTAGGAATTGAGAGAGGAGAGGGGTGTTTAAAAACAAATTCCCAAAATGATGAAGCTTAAACTATGCTTTCAATAGAATTTTTTAATTTCTACTAGCTGCTTATGTTCCTCAGTTTCAGTCACTTATAATTATCATTGTATCTTCCCATTATGATATACATTTTTTAGCTCTAATTCTATACCCCCTCCAAGTCATTAATATTTTATACATTGTTCTCAAGTAAATCTTTGTGACAAGACATTGCTTACTTCATAGCTTCTTTGTTTTTGCATGGAAGACCTGTATAAGGATCTAGAAATTTAACGAGCCGCATTACTCTAGTTTTGAAGGCAGATGTTTTTTTTAAGATGTATTCTTTCTTCCAGTACCCAGGCCCTTTATCGTGTAAAGCAGCACAGCCCAAAGAAACAGTTTCTGTTTGTTTAGACTTCATTTTCCAAATTGTCCGTTTTGGGTGCAAAGAGCTGGAATAGAGTTTCAGCCAAATTCCACTGAAAATAAAAACAGAATAAAGAGGAATAAATTTCAAGAATAGTTACTTCATTTTTTATATGCACATCTCAGCTACCACCGAGCATAGTGTTAGCACAAAACAAGTCTTGTCCGTCTTCCCAAAGATATGGGAGCCAGGATGAAGCTCTATGATAGCACAGTCATAGTCAGCAAAGTAAGTGAAAACTGGTAAAGGTTAAGCAGAAAATTTTGAAAATTCTACCCCAAAACAATGATTCATCCTCCTCATAGAAAATCAGCTAGTGGGAAAAGTGGTTTAATACCTCCTATTCAACAAATAATCTGTACACTTCAAGTTTCACAGATCCAGCTGAAAGTGGTGTGGAGGAGGACAATTCAGAATCACCTTTGTTTGGTGGTGTCAATGTCATGTTGATCCCTTCTGCACTCTCTTTGGGAAAGCCCACAGAAGACATGACTCACTGAAGTCAAAGAAATGTGACTGTAATGATGGGCTCATCTCTTTCACACCAGGGAAACTATGAGGTCACATTTCAGCCTCTCATGCCCCAGTATCTCTAGGACAGTTCACAGAATATTGAGTACAGGAACCTACAAGAACTCAAACAATAATCTTGAGAATACAGGCTGCCAGTAAGTTTTCTCATTCTGAAGTGAGCTAGACACGTAGTGTACATAACTGCACTAAAAAAATAAATAGCAAGGGCAACAAATTCTTAAGAGACATTTTCTACCACTTATCAGCAAGATTACCTTCACCAGTTCTCACTTATCCTCAGGCAAACTTACACTAGTGAGTATTGTATGGCATCTTCCCCTCTCCTCAAAGCATTCAAGGACTAGATCCATCCCACACTGCCTCCTACCCATCAAAACTATTCTCAATTCATCAGCCACTGAGAGTAAGCTCCCACATGCTGAGAGCCAGGCTCTGCTTATTGATGCAAACCTATTCAGGGATTTTGCAAAAGCCTTCCAGCCTGCTGCTCTGCAGATATATACAGAATTCCCCACTGCCATTTTTTGAGATGAAAGTGTCTAAAACACACAGACCAATAAACTACTGTGACTTGTAAAAGTGGGGTCACAGTCAACATGAGTTTTCAACCTTCCTTTCAGCAAAAGCAGGGTGGAAAGGGTAACATAAAGGATAATCCCATAACTGAAACAAAATTTTAAGATACTTCTATTTTAAGACCATAAAAGGCAGCCAAGTTACCAGACAGTATATGATGGAGAAGGAAAATTCTTCTTTAACTACAAAGCTGCTTAGAATTGTCCAGTGATGAAAAAAAAGAGGGATGTCCTTAATACAACACCACCAGGGGAATTTGAGCTGTGTATCATCCAACTGATCTTCATCAGCCTAAAAAGTCCAGTAAAATAACCTCCTATAAAACTCTCCTGTTAACTAGAAACCCCTTCCCAAGAGAGACATCCTTTGATGGAGGGTGATACTCTGCTGAATTATGCTGAAAAAACAGGGCTTAGTAGTAGGCATTTCCTGCATTTTGGAGTCGCAGACTCAAGCAATTTGGTTGACTGAAAACAGACTATAACAAATACCTAACATCCTCATACTCACTCTCAGTAATATATTGCTTCTTCCTTTCCCAAAACAGTGTTGTGCAAGCAAAGAAATTAGTTCAAGAAACTCAAAAATTCAGCTAGGGCAGAGAGACAGAGAGCAAGATGAAGGAGGACTAGAATCACAAGTGTTTAGGAAGGTATCACTGCCCCTTTATCCTCAACTTCTGAAGAATTCAGGACAAATAAATCAAAAAGGCATCCAACAGGGAAGCACAAGTTTGCCTCTTTCACAACAGAATATAAGCCCTTTTTTGCCTCAAATTTTAATATTCATCTCAAGACCTCTCACTGGACATTAATTACTACAACAAGCCTTTAACTGAAATGCCAGAATCAGGCACATCATCATCAGCCATCACTTGACCACAATGCCCAAAAGACCCTGTGCTCTCGCTTCCTCTCACACAGGCACGTTCTTCTGGTGATCAGAATCCTCAAGTTTTTGCAGGCAGACCGTATCTGTGAACTTCCCACACTGCATGATAGGAAGGCTGGAATACCCCATGCTGGGGCACAGAGGGGGCAGAAAGGGGGGGGCATAAACTTCTTGTCTTCGACAGCTATATTGGAGACATCAGTGCTAAGAACTGCTCAAGCACACTCATTATATGAAAAGCCAAAAGAAAAATCACTGCGTTAGGCAGCACAGACATACCACAATGAAAGACTGATGGTCCTGTTGCATCAAAGACAGCAGAAATATCCTAAAAAAGACACTCAGTCTAAAAACCAAGGTCAGATTTGTCAGAGAAATATGCAGGGACTCCAATTAAAACTTCTGTTCATACACTGCAAGACTCAGGGTCTTAAGAAGGTCCATTAAAATCCACCAGGAAGAAATGACGTGGGTCCCACTGAACCAGTCAGGCTCCTAGATAAGGGAAAGTAACTCTTCCCCAAGTCCTATTTGTGCCCACTCACTAATCTCTGTTGAGATTAGAAAACGGAAACACAGATCGTCGAGATGGAGACAGATGAATCATCTTCCCCTGGACAGCCACAGTGATTTTATCTTGCCTTACCACCCTGAAGTGGAAAACACATGCCAAGACTGGTAATTTGTGTCAACTATGCAATTTTTATCTACTCTTACCTGCTGACAGCCTCAAAACCTTAATCTGGACTACAGATCTTCCCTTTAAATTCATCAGTTCTAAAGGTATCAATGCCAAGGTAAAGAAATTGATTCACCATACAAGTTTCAGTAAATAAGGGAGAAATAGATTAATACCAGGTACAGCAACCTCCTATAGAGGAAGACATTTTCTCATTCAGACAACACTAATGCAGTAGAATCCTAGAAAGAAAAGGATGCCCAGATCCTAGTTACCACATAACAACCTGGGTGCCTCCTCTTTACCCTTTGACAAAATTATCATCATATTGGAGCAATTTATGAACTCTGAATAAGCAATCCTTATAAAAAAATGTGTCAGTATTTATCTTCGTCTCTTTTGTCTCATTAAAAATCACCAAAATTTCACAAACAGAGCAACAGATAAAAACCACTAGTGGATCACTTGATTGAATCAATCCCTCTGCAAAAAGCTGATGAAAGAATTAAGTAAGTAGGACCCCAAAATTGTGAAAGCTATGACAATTTCATAAAGCTGCTGGAGACACACCATTAAGGATCACCTGAACTGAGAAGTTTGTGCAGGTCCATGTGAATTCAGACAGAAATTTTAAAACAAAAAAAAAGTGCTAACAGCAACATTTCAAAGTACTAGATTTAGTTTTTACCTCATAACTCCCATTAAACAACAGGCCCTGCACAGCTAGAATTCCATGCAACACATGCTGCGGGCTGTGCAGGGCAATTTCAGCAGAGTAAGTGCCCATAGGTGCATGCATCAGCGCTCTGGCATCAGAGGAACTAAATTAGAAGGACTCATAATTCAGGCAAACACATCTACTGCACAACTGAGACCCTCCCTCTTCCTTACTTATCATTGGCCAGCTCATGGAAGCGCTTATTCACACAGCCAACAGCCAACAGGGACACAGCATCCAGATAGGAAAATATCTTCAGCAGCATTTCTGATGGCATGCTGGAAAAGAAAAGAAAAATGAATACTGTTAGACATGCCAGCAAACTCCAGAAATGACAATGGCAGAGAATTTAAATTTCAAACCAGACAAAAACAAAAGAGGTGAAAACCAGCAGGTTGTAAACAGATGAATCAAAAATCACCTGAAGAGTTAAACTGTGGAGTTTGGGTTCTAATTTCATTCTCTGGTACGTGGCATTTGCCTAAAATAATTCATGACAACTTATTCAAGTGGCACAGCATAATTACCTGAAAAGTTTTGTGTTTGCACTTTCATTAAATTTTGTTAACTTTAACTATGTTTGACATGAAACTACCTTGTTTTGCTTCAGTTTCTTGCTGCTTGTACTATTACTTTAACATTTATTCCATAACCAGCATTTGCAAAACTGCAGATATATTCACCCTCCCTTTTGACTGCTGTGTCAGGTGCCAGGAAACACCAGGACAGAAATGTCCTGGTCTAACAGAAAGATCATGCTCTACCTCATCATAATCTTCAAACTGTACATGCTCAGGGGGCCTGTGCAATTTTTATTTATGTCACCAGAAAGATGTGAACTTCAAAGTAAGAACCAAGTGACATCTTGAAAATGTCAATGTCTCTGTGCATCTGGAATGCTGCACGAAATGCAGGTGCCAGTCTAAGCATGGCAAGCAGAATATACCCTGGAGATGAGCCAATGTGATTTCTGCAGTAACAGACAGGAACCCTATACCATCTGAGCAGTACCTCATAACTGCACAGAGTTTAAAATACATGCATTTTATACTCTGATTTCCTTAAGCATTGAGTATGGTCACATCAAAATCACCACTGAAAATAAAAGGTGCTTTGAAAGTCAATGCTCCAGGTGTGCCTCTTGTCCTTTTACTACTGGGTTATTTGCAACACTTGTTGATTTATAACACTATTTCAGAAGCAGAGAGCTTTAAAGGGTAGCATGATAATGCCAATATCTCAGTGTTTGTATTAAACTCAGAATCTTAGTTGCATTGACATAGAAGCAACATGCCAAAACTGCACTGTTATTATGTGAAATAACTTATACACTGTAAGCCCAAAGCAGTTAGTGCACTCATTCCAGAGATAATTTAGACATGATACCTTAAAAGGCTGCAGATTAGCTAAAATAATACACTTGATCCAGAATTTTCAACCATATTCTTTTTCTTCTGAAGGAAGCTGAAAGGATTTTTTTCTTTTTTCTCTATTACACCCATCTGACAGCACTGAAATATTAGACTGGCCATCCAATGCAAAACAGAGAAAGCAATACACAGAAAGCCATTATATTTTCTGAAAAATCCTTTCCTTAGGATTTTTTCTCCTGAGAAGCTGAGAGGCCTCAGGAACAAAAGGTAAACAATGGTTATCTGCTGCTGTGGAATGCAACAGGTGGATCTGTGATTGGTGTCATAGAGTTGTTTCTAATTAATGGCCAATCACAGTTATCTGGCTCGGACTCTCTGTCTGAGACACAAGCCTTTGTTACCATTCTTTCTTTTTCTATTCTTAGCTAGCCTTCTGATGAAATCCTTTCTTCTATTCTTTTAGTATAGTTTTAATATAATATATATCATAAAATAATAAATCAAGCCTTCTGAAACATGGAGTCAGATCCTCGTCTCTTCCCTCTTCCTCGGACCCCTGTGAACACCGTCACAATATCAAATGTATAAAACAAGGAAACTAATTAGTTTCTCAGGTAATATATTCTTAGAAATTTTTTTTGTGAAAAAATGTAACTAATTTTCAAAAAGAAAACTCACAATTATACTGAAAGTGCCTTTTTACCATCAAACAGGAAGAGAAACATTTACCTTGTAGCAAATATGCAGCAGCCACTTATTCCTCCTCCCTCATCCCAATCCACCATTCTCAGCCTCTCTATACACTAAGATCCACTTGATGACTACCAATAACCAAGAGAAACAGAAGTAGTTTAATTCTGAACTGGCTTTCATTGAAGGAATAAAATACCAGTTTTTATTCTCAAGGAACAACATTGCCCATGACTTGCAAAGGAGTTGCTGAAGGCTTCACATGGCTTGGAAAACGTACATATTCCTTATGAACTTAGAAAAGAACACAAAGGAAAACTACAACAGAAAAGATTAGAACGTGGATACAGGATCCTAAAGTAGGCCAGGAAAGCAAATCTTTTCAACTCAGAGTACCTGACCTAGAAATCGCTAAGATATGAAAATAATTACTGCAAGCAGTCAAAAGACAGCTCACAGGGAGACCTCCACTCTTACTCCTAAAAACATACTCACCTCTCAATGCGCACACTTGGTTTCGGTTTTACGGGAGGTGTCAAGTACAGACTTTTAATTCCAGCATTTACAGTTTCAGAACATTCCCTAGGCCTGGCAGCAAAGGTCCTTAACCTACTTGTAAGAAGGAAAAGCTGTTAAGAGTCACAGATTCACAAAATGAAGAAATACACATACTGTGCACACTTAGACACAATATTTCAACCAATGCAGGACGCAGGGAATACATCACATGACAACCATTATTATTTGAACAATTACACCCAAGTTAAAATACCTGGCATGAGGAAGATTCAGTTTTAAACTCACAGCTGTCAATCCTGTGACAGATCTCTCACAGTAGGCAAAGGGAATAACAGTGTTCCCTCAAATCAGTTTGAATCCTGTGGAGATCTATTATCCTTAGACAGCAGCACCACTGCTTGGCCACCACAAACAAGCTCCCACTGAGGCCCCTGCAGTAAGTCAAACTCACTGATTAATCTTCTGTTTCACAACATTAATCCAGAGACATTTTTGAGCCACCCAACTCTGTTAAATTATTAAAAGATACCAGATAAAAACAATACATTGAAACTTCCTCAGAAACCGTTGCGGTTCAAAAAGAATTTGTATACTTTCATACTATACCATCTTCTTTACTTGCTTGAGCAGCAAGAAAGGAGATTTAATCCATGAAACAGAGGGCAGCTAGCAAGCTCCAAGGGATGTCCAGATGTTAGACAGATAAATTACTTGTGGGTAGAATTACTTTGTTAAGGTTTAGAGCTTGACATGCTTCACTGATTTCAGACCTAGGGGGAGGCTAACAAAGCTTGGGAAGAAGGATGGCCACTGCTAGTGGCAGAAAGAATGCAGAATTTACAGGCCACAGGATACCTGGAACAACTCCCAAGATAAGGAGGAAACTATTACAGCCAACTCAGCAATTGTGCTGAAATCAGCTCCAGCTTCCAGAAACGTGAGATTGCAATCACTGACCCAAGAAACTCACTGGCTCAAAAAAGATAAAGACTGAACATGCAAAGTAATTAGCATGAGAAGGAAGAGAATCATTATCCAATAGAAGATAGAAAACTAATTAATAAGAGAATTATGGAACTGGTAGCCAATGAAAACTAATTCCTTCCTCAGCTAAAATGTATAAAATAGTAAAATGTTTTGACAGCTGGTGTGCCAGCTTTGTGGATTCGCCACCCAGCATCCCTTCCGTGCAGAACTGTAAATATATCAACTACCTCAACCCTGTGTCTGAATTGGCCTCTTGCACATCACACTGAAAGAACCTATTCTGGAAACACTTCCACATCACAATTTGGATAGAAAATAAAGGAACTTTGCATCTTTCTAACACAAATTCTCAAAATCCAACTGCTCATACATTTTTCCAAGTTTTCTGATAGGAAGGACTTCATAAGCTGTAATTGCAAACACATACTATCATTAATCCATAGAGAAAAATGGAGACAGAGTTTCAATCTTAAACCAAATACACCAAGCAGGCACAGCTCCCCATTCACTGCATTACTGATGTTTTAAATTGCCAGCAGATTTCTAACACCTGGCAAAACCAGCTCTGGGTTTCTAGGAAACCAATCCATATGGGGGAGGGTGGAATAGCTATTTTTAAACTATATGGCTACCATATAAATTTAATACCTACTGATGTTGATTTAAGATTGATTTAAGCTCAAAGAAAAATAAAATAAAAAGAAATTAACAACTCTGGTCTACATTGTCAACTACACCATGCAAAACAAACAAACAAACAAAAAAAAACAATACAAGACATTTTACTGAGAATTGTTATAAGCTTAACAAAAAGACATGCACATTTCAGCCTGGGTGCCAATCACTGACAGACCAACTAAATTAACAACTACAAAAAAGTAGTCTGATAATAAAGATAATAGAACCTGGAGATCAAACAAGGGTTTTACTCATGTATCGTTATCAAGAACTCCTAGATGATGAGGCACTAACAAACTGCCATTAGAGGGATTTAGGAACACAAGTTGTGATCAACAGCAGCAGAGCTATCACTTCTGTATGTTTCAGGGCAGCATATCCCAGGCTATTCTGCCCTGAATCCATGCTGAAAGCAGAGAGTTTGGACATACTCTATAGGGACACAACTTCACAGACTCCAGCCATGGGACTAATTCTGATAAGAAGCTGGATTCTGGATTTTAAAACACACTAACTTGGACAAGCATAACCTGGATAGCCTGTATTCAGTCTGTCTTGCTCATTTAAACCACCCCCCCTTCCTTTACCCCAGGGAGAAATATCTGAGGAAAGAAACATTTTGCCCACACATGCCTTGAAAAGTTTAATGTAACAGCTATTGTTTTTGTAAACTTCAATTTAAAAAATAAACTGCAGAACTTTTGCATCTTCCAAAACAAAAATATTCTCAAGGTGTGAAGAAACAAACAGCAAACCCAATCCATAAATTACTTTTCAAGTACTGTGTGTGCTAAGATTTTAAATTAGCATTAACAGAATGCTTTTACATTGCATTGACACAGCTTGGGCAGATAAGCCTAAGATAAAATCAATGACAGCTGTTACACCCCCTCTTTAGAAACTTCTAGAACCACTGAGATGATCTTATGTAAGAAGCACAACAACTTCAATTGCTTTTTCATTAGCTTTCAACCTGTGTGGCTCAGTTTCATACCAGTATTTCACTTTCACACTTTCACATAATACTTGCAATGTGCCCTGGTTTTTTGATGGTCAGCAAACCATTGTCTTTCCAGTAACATTTCAAATAACATAAAGTTTTAAGTAGTGATAACACCTGTCTCCTCCACGTGTTAGAGTGTATCTGGGGATAAACAAAAATAACAATAATGTTTTGACATGGGTTGGTTGGGTTTTGTTCCCTCAGCTAACAATTTCAGTCTTTTTGAAAGGTGGGTATTACCTCAATCCATTTGCAGGTTAAAAAAAAAAAAAAAACACAAGCAAACAAACAAAAAACAGCAGGGGGAATGAAACTGCTCTGAAACTCAAGGTTGAAGAAATGGGTTAGCAGAAAAATCTGCTTTCTCAACTCTGCCTCTCAGACTGATGCTTTAAAATTTTGAAAGCTAAACCTGCACTGTAAGAATTAAGGTAATCACACCTTCCCCAGTGAAATCCTCCTACTTATTACACAGACCTAACCACATAAAGTAGACATTAAACTAATTTTGTATATTCTCATTATAACATCTCCTCCAAGCTGAAGCACATATCGAAGTTTAGGCTCCCTTTTCCAGGCAGAAAAAAAAAAAAAGTGTTAAACTCAGGCCACCATGCACCTGCAACACCAGCGTTTTCCCGCTGCAAGGCGTCCATAGGGCCAGGGGAAGGGAGGGGAGAGCACTACGCCCACAGCCGTAGCCGTGAAGAGTAAAGAGCTAGAAACCAGAGCCGTGGAGCAGGTGAACTAACTTTCCCAGAGGAGCAACGGGAGCTGAGGGAAAACAGCAAGCCACCCTCCCCGGAAAAGGTGAAGAAGGCCGAGCAGGCAGCCCCGGGCCGGCCGGCCCCGCTCGGCGCGCCCGCGGTTACCTGCCACGGCCCGTCGCCATGGCCGCTGCGCCGCGGGACAGCGGCGGCCTCGCACCCCCGGCGGGGAGGGCAGGGGAGGAACAAGCGCTGCCGCCTCCCGTGGTACGCCCTGGGGCGGGGTGGGACGGCGGCAGCTCGAGGGAGGCGGTGCCCGGAGCGCGGGCGGGGGAAGGCGGGGCTGGAGCACGGCAGTGCGGGGATTCGCGAAGCGTTAACGCTCCGGGAATGGCGGTGTTGCCGCCATGAGCATGGTAGCACCTACCCCGGCCCACAGGGAGCTCGGGGCTCTCGGGCACTGTGTTCTCGGGTCTCAGAAACACAGAACTGATTAGGTTGGAAAATACCTCTGAGATTACTTAGTCCAACCTGTGACTGAGCACCACCATGTCAATTACACCACAGCACTGTGTCAATTCCACTATGTGTCAATACCAGTTTTTCCTTAAACATCTCCAGGGTTGGTGGTTCCACCACCTCCCTGAGCAGCCCATCCCAATGCCTAATCAACTTTTCTGTGAAGAAATTCTTAATGTCCAACCTAAACCTCCCCTGGAACAACTTGAGGCCATTTCCTCTTGTCGGAGAGCAGGCCGTCTCCCACCTGGCCACAGCCTCCTTCCAGGGATTTGTACAGAGTGATAAAAAAGTCCCCCTGAGCCTCATTTTCTCCAAGCTAAACATCCCCAGCTCCCTCAGCCACTCCTCATAAAACTTGTGCTACAGCTTCACCAGCTCCATTGCCCTTCTCTGGACCTGCTCCAGCAGCTCAATGTCGTTCTTAAATCGAGGGCTTCAAAACTCAACACAGTACTCAAGGTGCGGCCTCAACAGTGCCAACTACAGTGGGACAATCTCCTCCCTAGTCCTGCTCACAACACAGCTTTTGATACAGGCCAGGAAGCCATTGGCTTTGGCCACCTGGGCACACACTGGCTCACGTCCTTTTCCACCAGCACTTTTCCAGCCACTCTGTCCCCAGCGCTGCCTGGGGTTCTTGTGAGCAGGACCAAACACTTGGCCTTGTTGAACTTCATGCCGTCCATCTCAGCCCATCGATTTAGCCTGCCCAGATCCCTGGAGCCGTCTCCATCCGCGGAAACCTCAATGCATCGCTTTAACAAATATATGTGGGCAAGACGAAGAAAAACATGTATGAAAACACAACTTCACAAGGGTGACCGGCACCGCATGCGCGGCGAGCAGCCCGCCGCCTTCCCACCCCCGAAAGGAGCCGGGGGTCCCCGCCTGCGGAGGGCGGGCTGTGCCGGCGGCAGCGGCGGCGGCGGCGCTGGGCATGGCGGGCGCTGTAGTGACCTCGCTGCGAGCCGCTCCCGGCGGCGGGCGGGAGAGGGAGCCTGCTCAAACTACGGCTCCCAGCGCCCGCCGCCGCCGCTCGCTGCTCCGCTGTCCCAAACATTTCCGCCGGGGCAGAGGCCAGCGGGGGCTGTCGGCGGTAAAGGTTCAGGTGGGCTCCTGAGCTAGAGCAGCGGCCATCGGGGCGGGAGGCTGCCCGGGCACTTCCCCGGCGAGCGGCACGAACTCTCCGTTCGTGCCCCGGCCGTGCCCTGTGCGGGCGGCGAGAGCCATGCCCGGCGTGCTGCCCCGGACGCTGCCCGCGGCCCTCGGGCGGGGCTGCCTGGGCCGCTGGCTGCTCGCCACTCGCGGGTGGGCGCTCCTGGGGCCCGGCACCCCGTCCTGCTCCTGCTCCTGCCCGGGGTGGCGGCACCAGCCCCCGCTGCTGCTCGGGGCCGCCCGGCAGAGCTTCGGAACGCGGGCGGGAGGGCTGAAAGCTGCAAAACCGGGAGGTAATAGCAAGGATGTGTCCGTGCAAAGGGCGCTGAACGAGGAAACGCTGGTGTCGGCGGCTCGGAAAGGTAAGGCGGAAGATGCTGTGTGCTGCTCCGAAGGGCTGGAGACGGTTCCTTCTGCAGCTAAAGTTTTGTAGTTCCAAACATCAAGTATCTAGAAAAAAAACGATCTCAGCACACCAAGGTGGTTTCCTTTCCCATCGTATTGTTTGGAGCAGATGTTACATTTCTCTGTATGCATTGCATAATCAGAATAAATTATAGGACTTCTTCTAAACAGCCTGTTGATCTAAGTAATTATCAGGCACAAGATATAATAGCCTCTCATTTTCCATTTCAGAAGGAAAACCTATCACATGCGGCCTGTCTGTACAGCTGTTGAAATAAGTTCACCTCCAACAAAATAGTTAAAGCTCTACCTGTGATGGTAGTTTCTTTATGGATTGCCTTCACTTTAGTTGGTCTCATTCACTTCAGTGAAAAGTGGTTACTACATAATTAGCCTCAGAAAATTTAAGTACTTTGAAATTACTTACGAAAAACACCTTCAACTGATTAGAAGACTGCAGGAGAAATAGTTATTAATGTTTCCTCCATAACTTATACTCCACTTTATCGCTAAAAGATAGTAGTCTCTTTCCAAGTACTCAAATATTTTGAAACAGAGAATCTCCTATGACTTATTTTGTGGTATATACTGACACTTGTGCTTTCGATCAAAATTGAAAGATAAAAACTAATCAGACAAACAGCAGTTAATGTTAAAAAATTATTTTGGTGTAATATTCCCCTTTTTTATTTTACTGTTGATTGCAAATTCATAAAATCAGTTCTTTTCAGTGTGTGCAACTTATAAGCTTTTACTTTTTTGTTTTTACTTCTTTTCTTTGCATAAGGATTTCAGTGGTTGTGGGTTTAGGTGGTAGCGTGAATACTGCAGTGCTAAATCCCTCATTAGTTCCTGAAAAATCTGGCTCTCATGCACCCAAAAAGTAGCAGTGATTGCTACTTTGGAGCTTGAAAACATCTGACAAACAAAGTAATAAGGCTTAACACAGAGATATAAACATGCCCTGTACAATATAAGAGAGGTTCCAAGGTCTCTTTTACATCAATGAGGCATTAAGGAAACTTACTGAAATTTTTTCCTCTGCTAAAATGTTATTTGAGCTACAGACTAACAAAAGAATATTTATGTAAGAAAGTCATACAAGTGTTATTATCCAAGGTTGTAACTTGTGTGTTTTCTGTTTAATTTCAGTGAAAGAAGCTGGAAGAGACTTTACCTATTTTATTGTGGTGCTTGTTGGAATTGGTGTTACAGGTTATTTTTTTAAATTACATTCTTTATTAGAAGACACTTTTCATTAATTCCACCTGGTTTGAAAAGTTTTCATTCCATCTGATGTTGTTTCTGTTACAGGTGGTTTGTTCTATGTGATTTTTAAAGAGCTGTTCTCTTCTTCTAGTCCAAATAAGATCTATGGAGATGCCTTAGAGAAATGCAGATCTCACCCTGAGGTTGGTTTTTGAACTTTAGTCCTAAATTTTTGTTTCTCAGTAGTTACTGTCTCTCTTCAAGTCAAAACTTTGTGCAAGGAATCTCACAAGCTACGTGAAGCCCCACGTGGTGCTTGAGCAGTTCTGCCAGTGCTTTTAGCTGGCATGGGGTGGCACAGCTCCAGAGCCGAGCCTCCCTTAGGACAAGTCAGTGCAAGCATTGAGCTTGTGTGAGCTAGCCCGCTAGAAGCCAACTAACTGTGCCACAGAACAAAAACTGATATAAATACAGTGTGCCCTTCAGAGCATGTGCTTGTGTCACCATACAGAAAGTCTTGGGGACTTTTCTTATTGCCTGCTAAATGTAGCACTTGAGTTCTCCGAGTCAGAGAGGCCACTGGTCCCACTAAGCTCTGTAGATCTTACCTGCTGCCTTTTCTCAGCACACTAACTCTATTGTGACAGTTCACTATGGTTCTGTCATTCTGTGAGGCGCTGTGCTGATACCCAGGAATTTAAATTTTTCATTTGGAGCACAATTAGCATCCTTTTGGCTAACTGGAAAACAGGTAGAGAACAGTCATGGGATCACACAGTTGTCATAGCTATGTGTAAACAAAAATCAGTATGAAACTAGATTAAAAAAAAAAAAAAACCAATTCAGACAAAACAACCTTCAAGCAAGGTTGCCACAGATGCCTTTGAGGATAACCTAGAAATTAAGTGACAAGTTGTTGCTCAAATAAAAATTAAGACTGCTTTGGAATGAGTTTGTAGAATTAAAACTTCTTTCCAGTGCTTGCAGAGTAAAGCTTAACCTCCCCTTCTAACCAAATTTAAAGTACGTTTACGACTAAGTTGATCTACTCTGACTCTATAGACCAGAAAAAAGATTACTAAATTTTTTATTCAGTAGTGGTTTTTAGATAATATGAAGGGGAGTACATTTGCATTTTCAACTTTGAAACATATTCTCTTGGAGGAAATGTGAGCAAATATTTTGTGCTTTTTTTTTCTTTTTACACAAAATATCAGGTTACATGTCTTTATCTCAGAGAACAGTACAAATAGAGGATATCAATAAGATTTATTTTAGACATTTAATACGGCACTGTAAAGAATAAAAAGGACTGGAATACAGAGGAGTTTTCCTTAAACTGTTTTCTTTCATAAACGCTTGTATTCTTGACATGTTAAGTTCTCCAGAGGCATTTTGTTAAAAGAAGATGCATTCACAGCAGAGGCAGGAGCTGATACTGGAATATGTGTCCATATGTGATCCTTTCTGACAGCTCAAACCTCTTTTGTCTTGTAGATAATTGCTGTTTTTGGTGACTCTATCAAAGGTTATGGAGAGGCAACAAGAAGAGGAAGACGACAGCATGTCAGGTACCCCTTGGTGTTTGCCCCATAAAGACATCAGTTTTTGCACAGCAAAGATATTTTTGGATCACAAGTTAGTTCTAGAGTGATGAACTGTATGTGACATCCCGTCACTTTTGATTGAACATAGAAGTTTTTTCCAGTACCTCTTGTGTGCCGTACACCACTAAGTACAGTGTATGTAGAATATAAAATGCCAATTCTGAGTGCCTCAAAAAAAGCTATATCATTGTGGTAGACACAGAGCTCTCCAAAAAATAGGATGAGTCTAAAAAGAGTAGTACAGAAGCCTAGGCTTGCATGGGGGAGCAGTAATCTGACAGAAGTTTTCAGTCTGAAACTATACTGAACTGATACGCAGAATGCTTTTTGGTACTTGAGGCAACATCTCTACTGTGTATTTAACAGAACATCTATCACCTAAACCTTTCATGAGTGTCTCTATTACTTTCCTTTTGAAAGAAACAACAGTATTGTTTCTTACCAAACATAAGTCCTCCCTTCTTTATTGGGTTATTTGGCAGGAATATATTCAATGAGGTTTTATATAGAATGAGACACGTAAACCCAGACACAGGTTGAACCATGAAATTGAGATTTTTTATTTTGTCTGATGAAAGTGTCTTTTACCCATTGAAGCTTTATCTCTCACCAGACTCTGTGAAATAATGTTTAAAGTGAAGCTGCTAAATGAAATTGATGTGCACAAATATTCTGAGCACGTGTCTGTAAATAAGTAAATTTACTATGAATCAGCTTTCCTAGTATTTAATTTCAATAATTTTGAATGCCTTGTATTTTAAAAAAATTTTTGAGCTGAGAACTGGGATATGATTGTAGAGTTTGCATCTGCAGTATAAGAATGATTTCAAATATTTGTCTCAAAAATCTACAGGGTTTTTTGTGTATGAATACCTTGAATGTAAATTTACTGCAGTAAGGCTCTTTGTTCATATTTGTTCTCTCTACCCCATCATGTCACTTTAAACTGTATTGGAAGTTCATTTCACAGTGTGTACCAGGGCATGCCTTATAGAAATAAAGATTGGTGCTAAACAGCAGTTAATAATTTCAGTAGGAAACATAAACTGGCACCAGAACCCTCATGGGATCATTAGTTTCCCAAAGTGGTCACTTTGGAAGTGATGTGCTATTTATTTAATACATGGGCATAACCCAACTCCAGTCTAAATAACAGCATTTAGGTTGGAGATCTCAAACAGTGCCAAAGTTACACAATTTCAGCAGAACAAAATTATTGCCAAAGTAAGTAAAGCACATTGTAAACTGTTTGTTTTGATGTGGTTTAACCAACCTGATAATTTGGAAAAACATGCTCTGTATGTTTTGGCTTGATGACTTAGTTTAAGTGCCTAAGAAAACTCAAGAAGTCTTGTTGGTGTGGGGTCTCTTTCTAGATGTCGGGCTCCAAATCTCCAAGTCGGGGTTTTTTTAGAATAAATACAAGGAATTTCTATAGTCTTCAGCAGTGGATTGCTTTTCAGTTTTGAGGGGAGGCCTGGGGTGAGGACATTTAAGCATTTAATCTCATAATGCTCAGCAGCTAATTAGCTCTTCTAACTCCACTAGTCCTTAGGCACTCACAGTAAAGCTTGAGAGGAGCAGTAGAGAAGGAAGCCAAGGTAGCATAAGGACACCACCGGGATACACTTTCTTACAAAATAAGTAAGCAACTCCTCTAAGTAAGTTTAAATTTGAAGTCTTAACTAGCATATAATCTGTATTCTTGCTGGGTGGTTGGGTTTTTGTTTTGTGTTGCTGTTTTTAGTCACATTGAATACGTAAAGGATGGACTGAAACACATGCGTTTGAAGTTCTATATTGAGGGCACTGAATCAGGGAAACAGGGAACAGTCCATGTGGAAGTCAAAGAGGTATGTACAATTGCTTGATACTCCTGACAAGCTTAGTCTTGAATTTAAACTACCAAAGAGAAAAAAACACTCTGAAATTCTTTTCTTTCCAGAATCTTGAAACAGGAAGATTTGAGGTTCGCTACATATTTGTGGATGTTGAGACGTATCCAAGAAGAACCATTGTCATCGAGGACAACAGATAGCCAACAATCAAAGCTGCTGCCTTACCTCACATTGGAAAATGTGGTTGTAGCCAGCCTACATATGGATTGTGTGGTGTTGCCAATTGTGTCGCACAGCTTCAGGGCTGTGTCAAGGGAAGTAGCCTTTCAGGCCCTCCACTAAGGACTTTTGATAATAACAGATATGGGATTTAAAGTGAAACCAATGAAATATAGCCAAAGGATCATGGTAGATATTCTTGACATAGGAAAATAATGTCTCCTAATAAACACTTTATTGCTGGATAATACCTCTGCACACCCAAGACCTGAGTTTTGCAAGGTTTTAGGTTTGGATGGGGTTTTTTGTCTTCCTTGGCTTGGATTTCCCACTACCACTGCAATAAAGAAAGGGTTAGTTTAACTGTAGACAGAAGTCTACTGTTTTCATTTTGGATACCTTTGTAGGTAAGAAGGTAAAATGGTAGTGATGCAAAAGAGATCTGGGCATGTAAGGGTAGGAATGGTGGAGGCACACACCCGTAACAAGCAACTGAAGACTTCAATATTGGTGTCTTCTAAATAAATTACCAGCAAGCAGAACATCACTACTGTCTGCTCTTTCTGATGTTTGCCATTCTGCTCCACATGGTTGTAGCAAGATGAAGGTTGGCCATTTCTCCCAGGCAGACTAGTGACAGGACAAGAGGACATGGCCTCAAGCTGTGTCAGGAGGGATTTGGATTGGACATTACCTTCAAAATATTTTGAAAACCACAATATTCCATTTAAATTTCTGTCTTTCCCACCTTGCCTGCATCTTCATGTGATAAACACACATGTGATGTTTATCAGGGCATGTCTTTAGTCCGTAAAGTGTTCCACATTATTTTCTTTTACTGCCTGCATAACCTTTCTAGCTAAGATTTACTAGGATGTTTGTGTATATTTCATGAAAGGGGGACACAGCTGGAAAGGACATCACTTCTGTGTTGTGAAAAAGCTGAGAATATGCTTGATAAAATGAAGACAAAAGGTAGCAGAGGAAATCCACCTTTACCTGACCTTAGATGTGTTAGTGTTCTTAATTTGAACAAATGATAAATACAAGGCTCAAATGCTTTCCAATGTCAGTGGGAGAAAGCTTTTTGGAATTCTTTTTCTAGAACATCTCATCAGTGAAGGAAAAAAAAAACTTCATAGCTTGATTTATCAACTTTGTACTGGCTAGATACCTATCACCAGCAAGATTATTTAAGCCCCTCAAAACTTCAGGAGTATTCAAGCTTTGGGAACTCATGACTTCTTTCCATTGTCCTCCTGAGGCTGAAGTTCTCCTGGTCTTCAATGGAGTGGGCGGGCACCCATGCTTACAAAATTTTCTTAAATTCTGTTTTATGCAAACACATATGGAGATACCTTAATCAAAATTAGGTGAAGATTAGTTGAACAAGACATCTGGAATAGAGAACATTGATCTCTTGTGCAGTATCATCTTTCCTGGTGGTAGTTTGCACTGGAGGGGAACAGCTGCATTCACTGAGTTCAAACATGTTTTGTAATTTTACTTTCTGTAATTCTGATGTGTGTTAGCCTCAGTTTTCCTTATGAAGCTGCCCCTGTTTCACTCAATCAGTGCACTACCAGCAAGTCTTGCAGAGATCCTTTTCCATGGCAGGGAGCTCAGTGTTCCTTCCTCTCACTGGAGGATGTGAGGCTGGGGGACAGCAAAATAACTGAAATGTTCACCTTCAGTTGTCAGTAAACACAAGCAGTAACCATTTCACTGTTTCCTTTTTAAAGCTCTTGCTTCATTTTCTCCTGGGAGAACACAAAATATACAGCCAGCTACTTTCTCAAGTAAAAGTGTCATGTTAATAAAATGTTGGGAAAAAAAATCACTGCTAGCAAGTCAGAGCTAGAAGAATGACATTTTCATAGAAATTAAACACATTTTCCAGAGTTCAGTTTTGATTGTTGCAGAATTAATAAAAATACATGTTCTCAAAACCCCTCTCTCCTTTAAGAAATTAAAATATGTCACTCACCAGTGAAAGGTTGTTTTTCCAGAAACACTGTGTGGCAGACTATTCAAAACATGTTTTGGGTAGGTGTACAATTTGGTCTTAATTTCCGATCTCTACATTAGTTTTTGTGGATGCCAAAACCTGTGTGTGCAGCATAGGCAGCCAATATCCTTAGAAGTGGTTTGTGGGAATAATGTTACTGTGTCATCTCCTGTGTATACTTGCTGTACAGTGACAAAAAGAAATATCCCTCCAGGAAATGAACTCAGTGGAAACTTAAAAATATATAAAAAAGGGAAATCATTATTCTTTCAGTAAGCTTCAATAAACAGAAGCTCTTGCAAAGAAAAAGTAGTTGTAGACAAGGAAGCAAAGGTGTTATGCATGACTGAGTTTAAAAATAGCCTTGATACCGAAATATTTTCTGCACAGAATTCAAGTTTCAACAACTGATTTAGGCAGTAGAGTCATGATCTTAGAAATGGTTGCAAACAAATGCACGTCTGGTACAAGAAACTTCAACAAACTCACTTAACAGAGAAGACAGGAATGTGAGTAAGACAATTACTGTATCACATGCCAGCTGCAGGGATAAAAAGCCAAAGAAACCGTGCTGGGAGTTTCCACAATTGCAATTCACTTTGCTCTCAGTCTCATTCACACAACAGATGCCATCCACCCTAATACTTGTGGGCTTATTCCAATATGTACATTGTCAGCAACCTAAAGTGTTGCAGGTTTTGCCCAAAAAACATTGAGGACACATTTTGAGTCCAAGCCTGCTTTTAGGATTCACTGCAGCTTGTAAACTGACAGAAGTATGTCAGGTAAGCACAGAGATTGGGGATAAAATTTCAGGGGAAAAAAGTTCTGAAAAAGCAAGCTTAAAGGTGGCAGTAAGGGCTGATAACTGCTCTCTGTATATGGGGTTGTGAAGTCTACTTGATGATCTGGAAGTTGGCAGTGGAAAAACAAAAACTTGAAAGCAAAAAGATCTTTCCCCCCCTTTTTTGAGAGGGGGAATTTGCTTAGTCCCTAGAGAGATGTTCACTTGCTCTGAATAGGGAATAATAGAACTCCAGTAGAAATTTTCCTTGGGCATCTGGGAATGTATATTGTTATAATATACAGTGATTCCAAACAGTGCTATAAATAATTGAGCAGCAGAAGTATTTGATAGTTTTTCTTAGTAAATTTTCAGGGGTTTTTATTCTGTATGTGTTATGTAAAATAATCTATAATTAGGAATTATAGAAAAATGTGAATTGTATTCACATCCTGTATTCAAATTCAGTATATTAATATTTTAATGATATATCATTAAAAGTTGAAAATATAGCAAAAATGTTTCACAATTTAAAGGAAACATAAACAAAATAGCTTTTTGGACTTCTTCTGGTTGTCCTGGGAGAAATATGCTGTATTTGATTGCCTTCATCTCATATAGGTTATTGTGGAACATTGGTAACTCAACAAATAAAAATATTAAGCACAGATACCCATTTCAGTAACATCAGTGTGGAAAGTCCCTGTTTGTCTCTCAGGGTTCAGTATCAAAACACTGCACTTCATTTTAATATCTGTGTAAAAAAACTTTTATCAGTTCTGGAAAAAGCGTCGTATGGGAGGAATGCCCTCACCTGCTCCACCCACAGCCATCCTGCAGCAGATCAGCCTTGGCCAGCGCCCAGAGCTGTTGCCCCCACAGCAGGATGGGGGTGGAAATGGGCACCAGCAGAAATGAGAAGAGCAAGACAGGAAGATCACTTGCCAGTTGGTGTTGCAGGTGAACTAAGCTTCAAAATGAGCTCAATTTATTGCTTTTTGCTGGCCAGAGCAGCAGCGTTGGCAGTGTGCCACAGTGGTGAGCACCCAGCAAGGCTGGCAGCAGCAGTGTCTCCACTGCCAGGTCACGTACAGGCGTCTGCCTCCACATCTTACACCCTCCCAGTACTGTGCTGGGAAACCTTTTCAGGATAATCGTGTTTATCCAGCCTCTATTTAATTACAATTCCCCTTTATCAGAATCACAATTATCTCCTCTAGCATGAGTTGCTTTCTTGTATTACTCCCCACAATTAACTCTATTAACCTTTTATCCAAGCACATTTTTACTTTTTATGGGAACCAGGTTGTTTTACAATTTCAATCCTAATTCTTCTTTTTTCCATTAAAAACATAACAATCTCAGCCATAACAACATTTTATTACAGTTATACACGTACTAAATCATGGCTATGTTCCCTGAGATGTGATTTGCTTCATTAGTGCTACAACCTCCGTAGAGGAGCTGGAAGTGAATTGCTACTTTGTGCGCTGTCTGGGGCCATGCATTATCCCGTGTTTTAATAAAATGGAGACAAATGCCACTGTTGGAGGGCAGGTTTGCAAAATGTCACCAGTTGCTTTTTGGTGTGATAGCTGGTGAGGTACAGATGCCGTCCTCTCCTCTGTGTGGCTGCAATACCACCACATTCAGGGGTCTAACACTGGTGTAAGGATAATAGTGGTGGAAAGAAATAACTGAGACATCTCAAGATTTGAAACAGCAGCTTTCTATCAACTGCCTTGAGCGTAAAACCCTCCTAAAAAGCCACAACTCTTTTTACCTGAAAACATCCACAAAAAAATGTCCTGCTGTGCTTTTTTTTTTTTCTTCACCTTATTTTCCTTGAATTTCTCTTTTAACACCTTTTTTTGTGGGGAGTCCTGCCAGCCTTTGCATATATTTCTCTTTTCTTTCAAAATACTGTGCTTAACTTCTGTATCTGCATGTCTTTTCTTTACCTATACTTAATTTAGCAGAATTAAAGCTAATCCCCCTCAACTTCTAATCATAAGACATTTTCTAGACCCTTCACCAGCTTCATTGTCCTTGTACATATGTAGCCCTAAAAACCATTATAAATATATAATGTGGAGCATATATGTTATAGAATAAATATTATGTAGATAGAATAATGCCTATCTACACATATGTATATATTTGTGTTCTTGACTTCATCTTGAAAGCTTTTCAGGTAACTTCAAAAGAAATCAGCTTCTAGGGCCATTCCAAAGCAGACACCTCCCATTACTGTCCAAGTCATGTTGCAGAGCTGGTCTCCAGGGATGTTCCTGAGAGCACTGTGATCCTCATAAGCCACATGGAACAAACAAGTCTTGATTTCTGGGTGGTGGGTCTGATTGACACATTCATTTCTAACTGATACCCACCACCCCATCCAAACCTTCGATGACTGACCGGTACAAAAGCTCCAGACATCTCTCAGTGGCAAATACTTCAAGGTGAATTATGAAGAAATCAGATAAGCAAAAGGATGTGACTTGTGCCAAGATTAGAGCCAGTCAATTCTAATCTCTTCTGTACTGAGTGAGTCATGGTGGCAGTTCCTTCTTGATAAGCCATCCTGCATTACGATATAAAATAGTAAAACAGTCCTGCTTTGCTGGTGGTTGTCAGACTTTGGGATGAAATTAGAAGTATGCTAACATGGCTTTTGTGCTTTTGTAAAAACATGCATTTTTTATGTGGGAAGTATTAATCCTAAAGCAACCATCAATGTCACAGCCAGCCCCATCTATCCACTAGGCCATCATGCTGTACTGCTCACACAAGGGATGTGTTGTAGGGACTTCCTTTTCAAGAGGACAAAA